AATATGGCCTCTCTTCACTAATTGAAAAACATTCAGCACGTAACACATTAAGGGCATAGATCGAAATTTTATTCCAATTCAAATAACTTTACTTATATTATTCGTTTTAATTTGCTTTTTTTGTCAATTCGTAAGCTTCATAGAACTTTCGGGATCCACATTAGGTACCTACCTGCAATTTCGTTTTTCACGCTTGTTGGCAAATTTGATTGAATTTTATTATTATTTGACATAATTAAAACAATTGTTTTATTATATGCGTCGTTTCGGAAACATTACAATTTTCGTGGTCTCCTCACTGACGGCTAAAGTTTTACTGGTCGACATTTTAAGATTGCATAAAGATAATAATAACGTGGGATTACACAGGTAAAGGAGGTTTTAGTTATGCCTACGAGCCGCGATAACCAAATGATATATGATATTACATGTTCACCACACTGAGTAAGTTGTTATTATATATATATATACATAAATTTTCTAATATACTTTATTTATAAATACATTAATTGTAGTCTTGAATACGTGTTTTACTTTAATAAAGAAATAAAAAGAAAATTTGCAATGTTTTAATTACATTTTAAACGATACCCAAATATACTTTTTTGCTACATACCCATATCAGCACTTCGAACAATACTAAACAATTGAAATAAATTGATGTGGTCCTAAGTTTGAAGCAAATGGTACAGATTCGATAGAGAATTGTCAGCGGTCCGCAATTCGCATTATTTACATTCGATTTGAAATCAGAAGAAAATAATATCAGAACTTTTATTCATACTGGTTTATCTATATTTTCAACGATATCTGTTGTATCTACATCTTGGATCATAGTATCCTATTAAACATATTTTTATTATTAACCAACATTTAAATAGATCAATTCTGTATTAGATATCTCTCTCTATAAGAACTATTTATTTTCAGTTATATTTTTTTTATTTAAAGTTCTATCCGCAAACCGAATGAATGGCACACAATGCTTACAAATTGATAAATAGAACAGAACATTGCTAGAGATAAAAACTGTATTGATAACATATTCTGTTTAATGGAACACATTCAAGTACAATATATTTACTGTGTGAAAATTATATCATTCACAGATACCAACACAGTATTATATAGCTCCTATTTTCGGTCAATTCTCAATGAATTCTAGAAGCCAAAGTTATCTGTACAATCATTTAATTTTATAAGTGATGCTAGTGTGTTAGTGTATGAAATGTATAAGTGTTTTTCACAATGATACAGAATACTTTTGAGAGGTGCTCTATCAGTCAATTCATAACAGTCCTGGTTATTAGCGGACACTGTTTACCTTCAATTATGTTAGTACTTGAGGTGCCTCGAATTGACAATTATTTTCAAATTGTATTGAGACATCTAATTCATGAATTCTAGAGCTGAATCATGACTCATTTAAAGTTAAATGATTCTTAGGCATACCCTGTCGAATGAATTACAGATTTTCTTCCTTTCGATGGGCTCAAAACATTTTAACTTCATTATGTCCATTTGTCCAACACCAAAATCAAAGAATTTAAACATAAATCGGAAACAATGTTTATACAAACAGCCAAAATGTTATCTCCTAAAGAATATAATCATAAATCACACTTTGTATTTATTTTAATGCATTCCCACTATGCTATTAACATATACTTATCTTATATGCAATAAAGCTATACACACATTTTAATTATTATTGCTTCTCTGTGTACTATCTGTTTAATTATTAAATACATTTACAAAAAAAAGCTAACCATGCTTTACAAATATTAAAAAGTATTTTACTTTTAATGCGAGAGATATTCTGCCTTTTAGGCATAGTTTTTGATGCCTTTTGTGTGTCATTGTAAAGTTGTGAAAAATTTACAACACATACATATAAAAATATTTTATAAATTAAATTTGAATAGGTGTATTTTATTTATATATGAATAAATTTAAAACACTTCACACCTAATTTTTTCATAATTTTTTCCTTTTTACTAATTTATTAAGGCAGTTAAAGTGTTTGCAGATAATTCCGTACACAGAAAATGTAGCGATTTAAAAATAAAGTGATTTAAATGAAATTATAAAGTTTTACTTGCATCTCATAATATGTTTTTCTACTTGGATGATATATCATATGTGTGAAGTTAGGTGATATGATTACTAAATAAAAGGATAATAGAAAAAGCTGCAAAACTGAAGCTCTGGATGTGCCTCTGCAGAAAACTGTCAATATAATAAAACAACTTTCTCAATCAATAGTCTTCAAATATGAAAACATAGAGTTCATATTGTTTTTGCTCGTCATTCCAAGAGAGCATGTACATTTTGGCTATTGACTCGGACTCCCTGCAGGCTCAGGTCGGTTTAGGGTAGGTTTTTCAGCAATCTGAGGTTTTTCGGCGATTAAAGGTTTCTCCACTACGGGAAGTTTTTCGACGGGTTTCGGTTCTTCAATCTCATCACTCGTATCGTTAGTATCATTTTCATTAATATGAGCACCTGCTAATTTGTCTATGAATGCTTCAGGTTTTTCTCTCTCCATTTGTAAGGGTCCATTCTGTTTTTCAGGCATTGAGGGGGACACTGATCTCTGCATTACATTCTCAGGATCAGGATTTGATGGTGTTGCTCGAGCTGAATTATCATCACTGGAAACACTTTGTTTTCTTAATGACTGATGGCCTTGATATGACACTGTTTGTGGGTGATGAGGATGCAAGGGTAATCTGGACTTGTCACTCTTCCTCCATAATATCACCTCTTGTTGTTTGAAATAGCGACGATCTTCAGTGTCCATCAAAACTAAATTAAGGTAGTATCTGACAGAAAATTTGTTGTTAATGTCCCTCATAGTCGGAGTCAGGTCATAGCCAGCCAAAAACACTCTGATAGGAATACTTTCACCCCTGACTGGCGCACCATCCATTATCTCATACTTTGCTACAGTTTCATTTTCTGTAAACGTATTGGGACCAGATCCAGTGGTTTCTCTCTTGATTATTGATATTTCCATGTGCTTGATTTTTATACGTACCAGTAAAAAATAAATTTTACCAACAATAACGTCTTTCAAATGATATTTTGATTTGTTATATTCAAACTCTATGTGCAGACAGTCTTCTATGCCTACTTCCATTTTGATAGAATTAAGGACGTCCGGATAACTACAGAGCGTGTGCACGGCAATATCCACCTCCTTCGTGATGTCAGTGAGGCGCCGGACGATTGTCGCCCGCAGGAAATACCGCAACCTGACATTAGAGCCTGTATATACTTCGTATGGTTTTTCGACATTAGCAAACTCGAAAGGATACGACGTGTGTTGAAGCAGGTCGCCCGGACGCGCTAGTTCTTTAACCAGAGATATGAATTCGTGATGATTACCTCTGTCGTAGAATAATTCAATCTGACCTATGAGTTCGACCTTGATGCCTTGATGTTCAAGTTTTGATCCCGGTTTCCGCAACGTCACATTCACTTTCCCGGAGACCGTTTCACCGTCATAATACAACAATAACTTTTCTTTTTTACCATCGTCCGTTTTCACTTCAGCCACCTTCCGTTTGTCAGCATCATCAAAAACTATTTCGATATCCGCCGTCTGACCGAACCCGAAAAAGCTCATTTTCACAATATATAATTATTCGACCAAAAGATTTTTTACGTGGTTTTGTTTTGGAATAGTAACGATAAAATTGAGTAAAACATTGAAAAAACGGCGACGAAACGCCCGCGAATCGTTCGAGACGATTGTAAGATATGAACCAAAGATGGCGACTAAATTAATGTCGGCTGTCGTCGAAGTTTCATAATTAAAATTATATGAAAAAAACTCACCAACAAGACACCTCTGGATCTCACACGCAAATCTCTTACAGGGATCCTTCGACATAAATAAAAAAATTTAATGTTTTCGTACAAAAAGCACTCACAATTTTAGAAATTCTTTTATGTGTATATTTAACAATATTTGGAAATGGCAACCCAAACAATCATGCACTGATAAGCCGAAACGCCCTCTAAAACAAGAACTATGGTATAGAGAGCAGAATGATTTTCATTGAAATAGAAACGGCGACAGAATTGCTAGTATCCCAGTGCTGTCCATGCTATTAATGTATCCGAGCCACATGTTAGTTTGGATTCGATAATTGCACTGGCTCAATGTAATGCAAAAAATCGGAAAAAATAGACAAGGATCATTTAAAAATGCCACTCGGTAAACTATTGGCGACAAACACAGTACAAATTACTTGAAGAACTTATTATTTACAGGATTATGTACAAGATTTACAAGCTTTGGTCATAGTGATTGCTTGAGAATAAATCCGAAAATACTGATATAAAAAAATTGAGATTGTTTCATGTGAGTTGATTCATTTTTAAGTTGGTGGTAATGGTTAGTCGTGAACTCGTCTACCCATCTAAGTAATAAAGTTGATGGTGGTAGTGATACAGAAAGTATTACGCAACTACAAAGCAACCAACAAATAACACTGTTCTATGATGCTCTAATAGGAAGCTTGCTCGTTATTAAGGCACACATTGAGTACATTTGCATATACATATTGATAATTCTATTGAATAACGCGAATGCAATGATTCGATAAATGAAAAAAAAAAAGAATAGTCCTACGTACTGTATTTCCCAAAATGGACTAATCTGACTATTGCTGTAATTGAGTTTATTTACTGTTTAAAAGTATTTACTTGAGAAATTTACCCAATACTTCTTCAAAATTATACAAGTGAAACAAGTTATGAGCCTGTACGTATGCCAGACTTTAAAATTTATTAACCATTCGGTATCTATCTTTATTTTCCTCATTACACTTCGAACACGATATGTTTTTTAATTTTATTTCACTTGTTAAGAAAACGACATAAATGAAACATAGAGCTTGGTTGTATAGCATAAGATTCTTTTGCCATTTCAAAGAAACAAAACAAACGGAAAACTATGGCCGAATTCAAAGGGTAGGGTGACTGTACTTACCTACCTACTATTTTCATTTGACTTTTTCACAAATGGCGGATATCAAATATAACTAGCGCTACATAAGAACGTGTTTGTATCGTTATTGCGCTTGAAGAACGATAGTTCACGAATAAAAAAATGATGGAAATCACAAGAACAACGTTAGGTATAGCTGTCGGAATTGCGGGAACGCTGTTCTTGGGTTACTGTGTATACTTTGACCAGCAAAGGCGCAAGGATCCGCTGTTCAAAAAGAAGTTGAGAGAGCGTGAGTATTCCATTTATTAATTGTTTTTAAAAAGAATTTGCCGCGACATTGGGATTTTAATTTAAACACCATAAATACCATGAAACTTGTATTTAAAATAATAACCTTAAAGTTTCAAGTTGTGTGACTGGTAATAGCTAATATATGGATGTTTTACGTAGTTTTTGTGGAATCCTGATTATACTGCTTTATCCTGAGTGTAAAATTAATATACAATGCTCAAAACCGCGAACGGCATTTCGTAATTGCCAGGCTGTGACACTATAAAAATTTCATAAGTTTTCATAAATGTCACTGATAACGTGATTTATTTTTATTTGCCGTAGAACAGTAAGTATTACTTCTGGATACAGGTCAATTGTGATGTAAGATTCTTTATTAGCACAAAATGAAAAGCTTTTAATTTAATGCCAGATACTCACTAGTGCTCAGAGACAATAATGTAAAAGCTTCAGATCATAGTGAGAAATTGTGTTATTTTATTATTTATATTGAAATTGTGATTCCATAGTGGTAAAACAATCCACAATTTCAGTACCAACTCTGCTCTTAAAAAACATCATATCGACGCTTGAAAGGCAAACGTGACTAAGCGACAATGCGTGAACTTTACAGTAGACTAATTTAAAGTTGAAATACCTGAAAACAAAATTTATTTTAACGAATCTAGCTGTAGTAGAATCTAGCTAGTAGCTTTAGGATTGAAATGATTTTAATAGACCTAGAAATATATTTTTTTTGCGCATTGAATATGGTTATTGCCTATCATTTATGTACAAAGCAGTTATTGTCGCTTAGTCATGTTTGCCTTTCAAGCGTCGATATCGACAGTATTCAAGTAGTTGTAGGATTTGGGTGTGAAAGTAAATTGTAGATTCTGCTACTGAAAATGTATGATATGGATGTAGTTTAAAGATTGAAAATAAATAATTTAAGGCATTAAAAAGATTACACTATTATTAAGATACAAAATCAAGAGAGTTGAGAATTAAATCTGATTATTTTGTTACAGGAAGACTGAATGCACAACAAAATGCTTCGAGGTCTCGTACCCTCGGTGGACCTGTTCCAGACATGAACGATCATGAAGCTATGCAGAGATTTTTCTTGCAACAGGTGAATATTTAATATTTAATTTTAGTTTTATTGACTTTGAAAATCTCCTAATCTCTCTGGCCTTGCAGTTACTGTGGTCCATCTATAGATAATGTGATATGAGTAATTCTACTGCTAATTATAAGGGTTTTTTAAAAAAAAAAACTTAAAGTTATGTTGTTAATAAATTGATGACAGTAATGATGATCCCCATTGTTAAAAGAAGCTACAGCAGAAGCAGAATGGGATGGCCAATGTAGAATTATTGATTTGTTTCAACAATTAATGTTAATAAATAAAATCAACAAATGTATAGGTTATTTCTAAATTAAATCTTTACCTTGAAGTGACAAAACTGAAGATTTTGATGAGTACAAAGAAAAGTGTAAAAGAATCTAACAGAAAAATAAAAATATTTGTAACAAAATCTGAAATCAATATTAATCAGTTCATAACTGCATATTTGGTACTACATCCACATAGTAGGTATGTATTATAATAGATAGGTAAGTAAGTATAAACCAAACAACCTTCCACCAATAACACAGCACATGACAAAATAAAACAATAAAAAAATTTAATACTACAAATCGCGAATCTACAAATTTAATGCTACTAATGATAGGTACATATCTTGTGAAATTTGCAATATGGTTACAGAAAACATACCTAAATGACTGGACAGTGATATACTGCAATTACCTAGGTCTGAGATATTAATCTATATTCATTATTATCTGATAAAAATGGTTCATGTATATATTTGTATATAGGTATATCTTGTTGTGTTGGTTGGTGGTCATTGGTTGTCATGGAGGGAACGTTGAACGTATGGAGTGGAATTTGTGTCTGGTGATGTCGCTGCTAGATTCTAAACTATGCTTGAATTTTTTCACTCCTTTTACAGTACCTGACAAAAACATATTCTAATTTTTTAAAGAGATTTTATGACCTGATAACCAAAACCTTTTAAGTCATGTCTTATTTTAATTTATAATCTTATTTTTATGAAAAATGATAATATGGAGTGAAATGAAATGAAAGATGATTAATTTGAGACATTAATCAACTGGGATGAAATTAAATGAGATGAGATGATATGGGATGAAATATAATCTCAGTGAAAAAGGTGGTCATTTACTGAGATTTTTTCAGTGGAGTTTTTGGAGGATCCCGAAAAGTTATGTCCAGCGGCTTTCTGTCATTTTCCCACATTTATACACTTGATATTAAACAGTTAATAAATCACCGCTATTACACATTTAAACCTGAAGAAACACTAAATAGACAAAATAAAACAAGTCACACAACTTCACTCCTCGCGTTCCCACCAAAAAGTCCAATATATTCTAACAAGCTTTGATGTCACAGATTCAACTCGGCGAAGAGTTGCTGGCTGCAGGTGATCTTGAAGCTGGAGTCGAACATCTCGGGCAGGCTGTGGCTGTTTGTGGACAGACTGAACAATTGCTTAGTGTGAGTATTAATAACATGTAACTATACTTGAGGCCTTAGAACTTATATCTCAAGGTGGGTGGCGCATTTACGTCGTAGATGTCTATGGGCTCCACTAACCACTTAACACCAGGTGGGCTGTGAGCTGGTCCACCCATCTAAGCAATAAAAAAAATATTGACGCTTGAAAGGCAAACGATAATAACTGCTTTATACATAAATGATAGGCAATAACCATATTCGATGCGCAAAAAAAAAATATAATTCTAGGTTATTAAAATCATTTCAAACCTACAGCTAGATTCGTTAAAATAAATTTTTTTTAGGTATTTCATCTTTAAATTAGTCAACTGTGAAGTTCACGCATTTTCGTTTAGTCACGTTTGTCTTTCAAGCGTCAATATGCATCTTGATTACACTTGCAAATTTTTCTTTATGCTCTTCAAGTTATCTTAAAACAAAGACAAAGGTTCCTTTTGTGTGTAGACTAGCGATATATTTCCATATGGGATGTAAAATTAGGTGTTTATCCAATTTTTAAAGATTCTAGCATATTTGCGACTATGACATCTATAAAATGCGAAATATGCTTGGAAATTTTACAAAATAAGTAGCAAAAGTGGCATTGTTCAGTGTTTGAACATGTGTAGTCCTAGGAAACGTTATTTTAGTATTTTTTGCATTTCGCATTTATAATTGTATAACCAAAGCATAATTGTTGTTTAATGGAGCATTGTATTTCATTGTTTCTTCTAGTCAAACCAGAATATATGATTGCTTCGTGGCACACATATACAGGGCCGTACTACACAACAGTGCAGGCTGCGAAATGATTTATGACATGATTATAAGACATTATAATATATAGATATAAATAATTACTGTTTGTTTTCAACAAATTTAAGAGCAGACGGTTAGCTTGGTATGGACATGTAATGCGTACAGAGAAGGTGCACGTGACTAGGAGATGTGCGGAAATGGTAGTGCAAGGTAGAGGGGGAAGAGGTCGACCAAAGAAGACATGGATGGAGTGTGTGAATGACAATATGAAAGGGAGGAGTGAGTGTGGAGATGACAGCTGATAGAAGAGAACGGAAGAGAAAAATTAGCTGTACCGACCTCACCTAGTGGGATAAGGTGGAGAAAAAGAAGAGAATTACTGTTTGTTTTCAATGTGTTGCAAAACCATTCATATGATTTTGGTGAAATTGGTATGAGGTTTGATGAGACTCATCAGATGACAGATAGGCTGGTTCCATGGTGTTTTTAAAATAAAACTGGCACCATTCTCTTTATCATTGCCGTTGCCTTCCATAGTGACAGTAATTAAAACTTACTTTTTTAATTCCATTTACTCTACTTCAAGTGTAGATCAATAACACCAGGATGCTCCGCCTCGGCTGGCTGCTCCAGTCTGAATGTTTTGGGCGTTATTTTTTTTCCTACCTAAACTGATGGTCTAGAGAGACCATATCAGCGTCACCGGGCTAGTAGGTGGGCTCACGGGGCTCAAACCTGACATTGTTGCTAACACGAACCGTAGCAAGAGCCGTGCTTCGCAGAATCTAGCACCGGATCGAAAACGCGACCCACTGACAAGATCTGGCGAGAAATTCAGTAGGCTGTGTCTGTGGGTTAATTTACTCGTCGAGCCCTTCGTCGCAAGTGACGGGTTCGACGAAAACGATGACCGGTTCTTGGGGTACCTAAAAGCACCGTTAGTGGATTGGGAGGATCCGAGATGACGTGTTGTGACGGCTTTTTGTGCGACAATAGTCACTCGTATTTATAGTAGAAAGTGGGGGTAGCTTAAGTATTCGAGCTGAACTTAAGGTATTTAGGAGAATCCATGATGCTCTTAAACAGTTGGTGACACGTAACATTAAGAAACAGTTAACTTTAACTAATCGTAGTTAACCAAATATTTGCTGCGACATTTATGTAAAGTTATATATTTTAATGAATTTCTGGTAGTGAATATACAAGTGTATTGACACCACTGTTATAGCGGTAGAGACATACATGAAACATGTTGTTGGTTTTCTTGTCTAAAGAAATAAATGATTTCATGTTATTTTTAATAGGTACTTCAGCAAACTATGCCAGCTCCAATCTTCCATCTGCTTCTTAAGAAGCTGCCAGAAGTTTCAGAACGCCTCCGATCCTCGATGAAGGCGAGGAGCAACGTAATGCAGGAAGAAGATGTCGAATAAAAAATTGTGTATTTGAAGAGATGAAAGTAAAACATGGTGGCCATAATAATTGATTTTAGTTTTATTTTTATCAGTCTTCTGTAGATATACTTACTCATATATTATATTAAAAGAAGCTGACCTAATAGCTTCATGGTTTTGAATCTTCCAAAACATATTTTTTGCAAAGTAGGTAACTAAAGAATTTACTACAAATATCTATGTATTAAAAAAAAATTATGCATGTGCCTACACCACTAAATTATTATTACCAAAATGAATGAATAAGAAGGAAGAGTTTGTAGAGCTGGTAATATAATAATAATCATCTTACAGTAATAACACGATTGCATTTTTTTCCAAATTGTATAAATAGAGGTTTGCCGCGCGAAATTATTTAAATTAAGTGGCAAAAGTACGAGTACTTGTCCATTAACGACAACGTAGTTAATAAAAACGACATTTACCCCAAATTTTCTATTTTTTCAGATGATTAATAACAAATTTATAATCTTTGGGCGACAATGATGGTGTATATTTTGTTTTTGGTTATTTCTGTTGGCTCTTAACAGTTGTTGAACATAGATTATACGCTTATTATTTGTGTTGAACAAACAATTAAAAAAATAATGTGAATATTATTAAAAACAAACTAGGATCAATCATGTCTTCATGTTTTACTTTTAAGATCTAGAATTTGTTTGAATTTTAAAAGACATCCGATGAGCGAACGTCTCCTTTAAATAACACGCAAAATTTGTCTTTCAAAGTTTTGTTCACCTTTTAATTGGTTCCTATTCTTTATTCTATAAATAATGAACAAATTGATAAGATGTAAATTCTGCTGTGTTGTTATTGGTTGTGTCAAGTAACAGATAACAACGTAATGAGTAATCCTTCGAATTTTTTGTCATTATGTCCTATATTATTTTTATTTACTTACCAAATAAATATAATTGTTTTAAAATATAGATTCCGTACAATAATTCTTAATGTCAATGAAAAAGCCGCCATTTTTATTAGTCAAACCCGATTTTGTTATAACGCTTCTGCTGCCGTTTTTATAGTTTTGTAGAAATTTATTATCAAAACGACCCAACAATATAAATGTTCGTAATGGTTATCGATTTTGAGAATTTTCGACAGTCTGATCATACAATATCTTCAATCGTAGTTTTAGTTGAACTTAGTATTATAGGTTATTTTGTTTTTGTGTTCATCTGTTACGGATGGTTGAGTTTCGATTGTGATTTTATCATTAAATAAACAGAATGTACAATGAATTTTTGTTTTATTATTCCAGGGTCACTAAATCTTTCAGTTTTCCTACGCTACAAGTTTATCTTTATAAAACTTTTCTTCACAAACTATTGAATTAGGCGGTAAATAAGTTTTCACTCAAAAAGACAATTAGTAATTTCTGCCACAGGTTTTGCAGTCTGCAGCGATTTAATGGCGTCTCTGTAGTGTTTACAAGCTCGTCTGCTTTCATTGGTGAAGTCTTCCAGACGTTTCTGGAAGATCATTACCTCGAACAATCATTACGTTGGTATTCCGCCCTTGAATGACGTTCATAGAGCACGGACCATATAGGAATAATAATAAATAAATAATAAAACAATAACGCCAACTTCCCATAGATTTATTATAAATAGAATACAACAAAAACAAGGCACCATGTTTTTAATTAAATATTATCAAACACCTCTCGATTTCAATAACCTGATCAAAATAAAATAACTAACAACATAATACGACAACAAATAACAGCTTTTAGAACTTTTAAATAATAGCTTTTAGAACTAAAATAAGCACTCTCATTATAAAATAATTTGGTCATGTCATAAGTACTCAACAGATTTATTACGTAATATGGTCAATTTTTTTTATTGGCGACTGGTATGTCATAGGGCTTCTTCTGGTAGGGTTATAAGGCCTCTTCTGTACCACCGTTCTATTTATTACCTAACAACAAAGTCGACGTACATTCTGGTTTAGAGGGTACGATGGCTGTTACAATTCAGACTTAGACCTCGGGATGATGCCTATGTCCCCCGGTAAACATAGTACATTCTACCATTTGAAAGAAAAAAAAGTTACAGCGCAGCGATTGAACTCTCTATTGTATTAGTAGTGTTCGTCCTACCCTTGAAATAGGAACGGACGATTGATTCGCGCAAAAAATAAGCAGATTAGATTGATTAGATTAAGAGTGTCTACCCACATGAGCTTACAATGTGCCGTCGTAAGGGCCGATTAAGTTTTGTCGAATAACAACAGCCAAAGCACTGCATGAAGCTTCGGATAATTGTAATAACAAGCTTATATATTCAGTCTAATTTATCTCCATTCCTTTCACATTAGCATTAGCTTCACGAAAGAGCAAACGATATTGTTTGCCGACACTCGTAAAACGCCATTTTAATTAATCGAAAAATGCTTCTGTTGCTTTCCCCCCACCGGAATGTTCGAATCCTATGCCTACCCTACTAGAGTTATGAAAGCAGCACTAATGCAGACAGAGCCGCCCTATGGGATAACGGAGCACCAGACGTCGGCGTACCTTGCTGTCGCCTCCCAATACTATTCAGACTTCCACCTATGGATGGTAGAAGTAAGGAGAACCGTCTCTATGTGTCAAAAGTGTCCGTTAAAATCTGCTAAATAAGGGTGGCGCTACAGTAGCAACCGGGTAAATTTAAAAAAAGGCGCTCGAAGTTATTAGAATAAGGTAAAGAAATAAAAAAAGGACGAAAGAACTGTAAGCACTACAAGATCTGTAGGATTTTTGAACTGTTATTTAGTGCTGAAAGTGAGACACTTTTCAAGCTTCTCCCATATGAATATGAGAGGTTCTCCTTACCTCTACCCTCCATGCTTCCACCTAATGCCTTAAGTGATAGGGTTCAGTAAGCAATTTGGCAGCTGGGTGATAAGATCAACGTCAGTTAAACCGATTACAGCCTCAGTCTTTATCGAATGCCGTCGCCGTAAAAAATAGAAGAATTCGATTATTCGAGAACAAAAATAGAATTATTCGAATTTTACATTGTATTTAAAATTATACGCAGACTTACACAGCGAGTGTTACCGACCCGTCGACTGGTTTATCTAATATATAAAATTCTCGTGTCACAGTTTTCGTTGCCATACTCCTCCGAAACGGCTTGACCGATTTTGATGAAATTTTTTGTGCTTATCCGGTATCTATGAGAATCGGCCAACATCTATTTTTCATCCCCCTAAATGTTAGGGGTAGTCCACCCCTAATTTTTTTTATTTATTTTTTAGACAAAATTATTAATTTCTATTTTTTTATGATACAGTATATAAAAATACATACAACCCTAAATTTTCACCCCTCTACGATCAACCCTTATTTTTTATTTGCTAATTAAAAAATTTAAAATGTTTTGCGAGAATTTTGTTTTTATTTTGCCATGACGTAGAATAAAAAAAAACATATTACTTTGAAATTTTCACCCCTCTACGATCAACCCCTATTTTTTATTTGTTAATTATAAACTTTAATTTTTTTGGCAAGATCTTCATTTTTATTTTTATTTTGTCACGAATTAAAATAAAAAATCTGATGTTACTCTCAATTTTTCATCCCTCTATGATCAACCCCTATTTTTTATTTGTTAATTATAAACTTTAATTTTTTGGCAAGTTTTTTATTTTGTTTTGTCATGACTTAAAATAAAAAAAATCATATTACTCTAAATTTTCACTCTTATACGATCAAGCCCTATTTTTCCATCCCGATTAATATTTTATTTATTCTATGCACAGATCCGCAATAAGGTTGCAAGATGGCAATCAAATATTATAATTGTAGTACGACAAATTCTTATTCAGAGTTTATAATTTCAAGTTCCTTTAATTATGTTTTTTTTAAATTGAATTTGATCTCCCGCCCTCGCCGGTCGACTACTGATCAACTGTCAATCGATCAGCTATCCCCGCCAGGTGTCACCACTCATCCAGCAAACATTACGAAGTAGGGATGAGGACGAAGCCGGTCTCCTGTCTTACTTACTCACTATACATCGTAGATTATACACTTAATATATTTGAGAGCTATACAATACTATACATTTTTCAGCCATGTTTTTTTGGTTTTAATTGTGTACCAATAGTATGTTCAGTAGGTGTGAGAATCGGCTACTATCTATTTTTCATACCCCTAAGTGAAAATGGTTGTCCACCCCAAACATTTATTTTTTATTTTAATTTTTTTGATATTATTTTTTGTTTATAATCAGGTATTATGTGGTTAAATGAGGTTTTTTTTTTCTACAGTAGAATTTCCCTAGAAATCTTATTTAAGGCAACACAACGTTTGCCGGGTCAGCTAGTTGTTATATAATCATCATAATGTTTGTAAAATATTTTCTGTAAAACATACGTCTGTTCTGGACGCTTCCTTACGACGATTGGTTATATACCTATTAGTGTCTAATTTATTCAATGATACTAAGGTCATTCTAGTGTGACGTCACCGTTTTTATCACGTATTTGATAGCAGAGCCGAAAATACAACATTTACATGAAGAAAATATATACTGTGTATTTTATGGAACAAAAGTTTACGTTTATTTATATTTCTAAGGTCAGTGAGGACATGCCCTAATACCAGCTAGTACGAATTCCCAGGAAACCATAATCGATTATTAACAAAGTATCGACTACATACAGTAGCGAACGTTACATCACTACGGCCCAAAAAATCTTTCATCATGATTTTTTACCAATCGAACTTCTGATTATGTCTTGTGATATCTTCATCACCTCTAAAGCACCTTTATCGATTAACGAATTCGCCAAGTCCCTACCTAAATTATCACATTTGATGACAACGTCAATTGGCATATTGACGTTGACCGTCAAACCGCAGAAGCAGCGTCTGTCAGCGACATTTGGCGCCAAATCTTCGCAGCCCAAATCACCAGTCTTCTCGGTGATCCGTCGATTAAGTACGGCGATTTCATTGTCGGCTTCAACTGTTTTGTCGGTTTTAATTTTTTTGCTGCTCGCTTCTTCCGTCGGACTGAGTTTGTGTTTAACGGTTTTACGTATTTGCCCAAACGTTTGGTCCAACGTTTCCTCGAGTTTGGTCGAACCGTCTAGACTCCAGACGGCTCCGGTCAAAGTGAGCTTGTAAACATTATCGTTTTGTTTTAGTTTTGTTGATATACCTACTGGAGCGCTGCATCCGCCACCTAATGAAACAGCAACTTGTAGAGGTACTTCCGGTATGTATGAGCGTCAATAGGCATCACCTATCTGCCTATTACTGCTATTATTTGATGAAGACATCGTCACATTTGAAGTCGTCGTGGCCTAAAGGATAAGACGTCCGGTGCATTCGTATCTAGCGATGCACCGGTGTTCGAATCCCGCAGGCGGGTACCAATTTTTCTAATGAAATACGTACTTAACAAATGCTCACCATTGACTTCCACGGTGAAGGAATAACATCGTGTAATAAAAATGAAACCCGCAAAATTATAATTTGCGTAATTACTAGTGGTAGAACGTCTTGAGTTCACACGGGTAGGTACTACCACCCTGCCTATTTCTGCCGTGAAACAATAATGCGTTTCGGTTTGAAGGGTGGGGCAGCCGTTTTAACTATACTAAGACCTTACAACTTATATCTCAAGGTGGGTGGCGCATTTACGTCATAGATGTCCATGGGCTCCAGTAACCACTTAACACCAGGTGGGCTGTGAGCTCGTCCATCCATATAAACAATAAATAAAAAAAGACAGGAATAAAGAACCGTTCTCAATAGAGTAACGTCTTGTTGAATTATCTCACCTAAAGTTTTTAGGAAACTCCTCTCAGCCAAGACCCGACAGTAAGTTTCAGGGTGGTTGAACGGAGCCAACATCGCTAGAACCGCGTCATTGTCAGCGCGACATTCCACCGCCAACGCGCCCTGACCCACCGCATATAACATCTCCGAGCACGGCAGTACCTGAAGTATGAAAACATTTGTTTATCTTCTTATCAGCCCACAGACATCCACTACTGGACATAGGTCTCCCCAAATCTCACCACAAAGACCGGTCCTGCGCTGTCTGCATACAGCAGATCCCCGCGAACCTCAATAGATTTTATTTATTAGATACTAGCTTTTGTCCGCGTGGAATAGTTCACAAACAATGCTTTATTTTAGAACAAATTTGGTTAGCATAAAAAACGCTATAGTGAGCGAACTTTAACATACAGACCTATTTTATGCTGTCGCGGACTTTTTTTAGGTCTTTTAAAGGGGAAGAATACTGTCATACATTATTTTAGCGAAACTTTAGCCGTTTCTGCAGCGCACGCAACGGAAGTGTTATGTTATGTAGTTATGTATGTATGTGTACATATATGTATTTCACTGGATTGGTACACCGCGCGTAGTTCATTTCCAAATGATTCTTGTCCACCTGATGGTTGTCTGGAAGAGATCGCTCTTAGCGATGAGACCGCTAATTGTACTTTTTTGTATTTAATGTATCGCACTGATTATTTGTTTTTTGGTGTACAATACATAATACTCTCTCTCTCTTTCAAACTCCTCAGCTTTATAATATTAGTATAGATGCCATATAGTCAGTGTTTAAGTTGGAAGTACATACTTAACAACTTCACGAACTATTCCACGATGAACGTATAAATATTATGGAGGAAAATTAAATGAGTACAAAATTAGTAAATTTAATTTTGTAATCAGGTTGGCCTAAAGAACATTTTTTATGTGTACGAACCAATTCAATATAACACCTATACAAATAACTATACAATATATTAATTTAGCATACATTTTTGGATGAATATTCATTGTGTGGTTGATATATTCTTAACATAAAACTTTAGCAGGTTTTACATTTTTTATTTATTGTTTTAACCACTTTTTTCATGATGCTTTTTTGCAACGCTTCACAGCCTTAGGGTTAGTTATTCTCGGTTTTGTGTTCAAAATACAGGTTTATATATTTATTATATAAGTTTTAATGTTTAGTTGGTGAGGTACAAATGCCGTAATAGAGTTCTGTACTCAAAACAAACATGCAGAGTTATGATCCTGAGTAAATAAAAAGTTTAACAATACTTTTAAGAAAATAAGACAATATAATAAGATAAAATAAGTTTATTTTTATATATAAGTATATAAATCTATATGTAATTACTATATATATTTCCTAGTCAATTTTCAAATAGTTACTTTTACCAAACATGTTTTGGCATAGGATATTTAGGTACCGTAATTGAATGAATATATTAATTTACCTTTGACATTCTGTTGCCCCATCCCATTCTACTCAAGCCAGCACTAGCCAGTATAAGGGCTGAATATTTTCCATCTTCGTCATCCAATTTCCTCAACCTGGTATTAAGATTGCCTCTCACATCCACCACCTTCAACTGGGGATAGTTTCCGTTTAGTTGAGCCGTTCGTCTCAGTGATGATGTTCCTGATAAAACAGAAATAAATTGTTTGCAAGGGAAGATATGAAAACAGTTATCGCTAAAGAGGATTCAAATGCTTAGTGCATTGTTTGTGAACTGTTTTTTATGTATATGCAGTTTGTATTATATTGTTTGCATATTGTGTACCGATTCTAATTAATTCGATTCTCTTGTGTCAATGCTTACCTATTACTGATCCTGAAGGTAAGGTGGACAATGAGTACTCTTTAAACTTTTCCTTCAGTACCAAAGCATCACGAGGGTCTTCTCTGAAATTAAAAAACAAAATCTGAATAAAAAATTTCATTTATGAACTATAAACTATTATATTATACAAATACTTTAATAATGATGGCTAAAGTACACAGTATCATGCGAAATATAAATTTATATGTATATATATAAAATGGTCAGGTCAGTACTATTATCTAAATTTCTACTACAGAAGCAATACATTCTAGAGAAAAAAATGTAACTGAGACTCTAGTGTGGTGGGAGTGGCATACGGTTGTATTCTTGTGGTGTCTTGCAGACTCTTATAACTGGTTAATATCAAGTTAACAGTGGACCCTTGTCAAGTATTAAAAAAATATATGTTACTTGAGGTGATGTACCTTTCAAAGACAGCACCAATTACTAATCCGTCCGGCAATGTCGTCGGCAAGTCTTTCAGCGAATGCACAACAAAATCTACATTTTTACTCATCAGTGCATCTTCTAAGTCTTTTGTGAAAAGTGACTTTTCTCCTATTTTTGGTAGAGGCTGATCTAGCACCCTGTCGCCAAGTGTTGTCATGGTCACTGAAAATTTAAATAGTAATTTTTGGATGAATTTTTGAGAAGCCCAGAAAAGGTTTGGGATGGTATGGACATATAAGATAAAATGACAATGAGGTTGGTAACAGAGTGTTAACTATGAATGTGGAAGGCTATAGAGGAAGAGGTAGACCTAAGAAGGAATTCTTAGATTGCGTGAATGACGATGTGTAAGAGGGGAGTGAGCGAAGAAATGGTATATGATAGAGGAGTATGGAAGGAGAAAACATGTTGCGCCGACCCCAGGTGACTGGGAGAAGGGCAGGAGAATAATTATGATTTTTTTGATTAATTTTTAAGGCATAAAATCTTTATGATTATTCAAGGAACTAGAATTACTTAGCCTTGACCACAAAGTTACAAGACAATGGTATTTAGTCAGAATTAATTACTACTAATGTGGTTTTTTATTAATAAATAATTATTTATCTTGTTAATTTGGTATATTAGTTGTGTGAGAGGTTTGGGACATGGAATGTTTAAATTTTTTTAAATTACATTTAAGTCACATTTATGTTAATTTGTCTGGATACTTTTGATGTATACGCTACTCTTAGGTCTTCTGAAGGAAGCCCCCATATGACTTTGGTGTCTTAAATGTTAAGTTACTATGTGATGTTGAACTCAATAGTATTTTATTCAACCCCATATCTTAAGGTTGATGGTGGCATTTAGGTTTGATTATGCATGAATTCTAATAGCCTCTTAATACTACTTGAGTAACAAGATCATCTAACAATAAAACAGCAACAAAAATGGTATTTACTTCGTAAATATTTCGTCTTTTCACATTAAAAGTGTACAATTTCCAAAAATATTTGAAATTGAGTTAATTAATATGCGGAATCATTTGATATTACCAGTATTTTTCACTCATAAGTACTGTCAAAAGAGCGTAGTTAAGTATTAGTTTTTTTTTTAGTTAACCTATGTTTTGACTACTACTAACAAAATTAAAACATATTAAATTATGTAAATTATGAAATGTTGCAAAGCTGATTAATATTAAAAATATCACATGTTAACAACTTTACAACACTCTCCTGTAAAATTAGTAAGTTTTGAGATTGTACAGTTTTAATGCGAGAAGACGATTTGTGGACTTCAAGTAATGAATAACTTAACTTACCAATTTTAAATTCCTTTTCCGGGTAATTTTTTTTTAAGCTATCGATAACGAAATTCGTTTGTACAAGTGCTAGCTGAAACAAATATTGAAATGAGTCTCGTTGTTTTTTGTATTTAATTACACTGTTACGTACGTGTTTATGTTACCTCGCTCTTCCTGGAGCCGACGTGAATGCTTAGTTTCGTTTCACCGTCCATTTTTCATTCAAACTTGTTAAAATTTATGTAACAAATTATAATTTTTTAGGTTATTGTTAGATTTACTTTATTGGAATCTTTTTTTTTGAACGAATTTAATTACTTTTGACTTAACATGTCACCAACACTGTAGTGGACAAGTCTGATTTAATGAAATAGGTATAAATTAAATGTTATTTTGAATTTATTCAAACATTATTGACGTCCATTCATAACACTAAAGTGTTAATCTATGATAAAAGTGATAAAACCTCATACATGCCATACGGCCAACCGATAAAGACTTTGTAGCCTGCCAAACTGGTTTTCGTCAAGCATAGACAACGAGCATAAATATTTAAGTCGATTATATCGATAATCAAGACATCGCGACACTTCTTGCTGGATTTTCTGTCAAATGGGAGAACAGTTAAAACAAAATGAACATTATGAAGAAAACGCTTTGCAGACACGAGACACCCAAACAATGTATCCAATGAGTGTTCAGACTGCTGTAGACTTGATTCAATTTGGCTTGTCACATTTTGTGCTGTTATCTCCAAATGTATTTTTTATAGTTACATTGTTTTTGATCATAATTTGTTAATCATTTGAAATCTTATAAAACACTTTTTAAAACAACAACAAAAAACGCTTAGTCGCTTTTGGAAGCAAATTGCATAACTGCGTGAAAATATTCTAAGGAAAATGCGTTTGTAGTGGAACATGATATTTTTTTTACCTTTTATACTCGAAAACATCATCATCATCATCATCATCATCATCAGCCTTTATCTGCCCATTGCTGGACATAGGCCTTCCCCAATGCCTTCCACATAATGCGGTCCTCCGCCTTCCGCATCCAACGACTTCCCGCCGTGCGCACTAAGTCGTCAGTCCACCTGGTTGGAGGATGCCCCACGCTCCTTATACCCATCCGTGGCCTCCATTCAAGGACTTTCCTCCCCCACCTGGCGTCGCTGGCTCGACAGATGTGACCGGCCCATTGCCACTTCAGCCTGCTAACTTTGAGAGCTATGTCGTCGACTTTGGTTCTCCGTCGAATTTCTTCGTTCCGGATTTTGTCCCTTAGAGAAATACCTAGCATAGCTTTCTCCATCGTCCGCTGTGCGACTCTTAACTTATGGGCCAGCCCTGCCGTCAGTGTCCAGGTTTCCGCGCCGTAGGTCATAGCGGGGAGAATGCACTGGTTAAAGACTTTTGTCTTCAGGCATTGAGGAATTTGCGAGGTGGGGATTGCACGGAATTTCCCAAATGCCGACCAACCCAGTCGAATGCATTTCTCAATCTCTGTATTGAAGTTACCCCGGCCAAGCTGGATAGCCTGACCGAGGTAGACAAAGTCTTTTACCTCTTCAATGACTGCATTCGAGATGGTAACTTGGCCCGGGGCGATTTTATCATTGAACATGACTTTCGTCTTGTCAAGGTTCATCCGCAGTCCCACGCATCGGGAAGCAGCATTGAGATCGTTGAGCATACGACTGAGGTCCTCCAGCGATTCCGACATTAAGACTATGTCATCGGCAAATCGAAGGTGTGACATGTACTCTCCGTTGACGTTGATTTCACATGTTTTCCAGTCCAGCGTCTTGAAGACATCTTCAAGTGCAGCGGTGAACAGTTTCGGAGATATAACATCTCCCTGTCGTACACCCCGCTGCAGCTTGATAGGTCTAGACTGGCAATCCTGGATTTGTACGGTCATCGTCGCGGCTTCGTATAGACTTTTCAACACCTCGATATAGCGATAGTCTATCTGGCATCGCTGTAAGGATTCCAGAACTGACCAGGTCTCGATAGAGTCAAAGGCTTTCTCGTAGTCCACGAAAGCCACGCAAAGTGGCAGATTATATTCTGTNGGACGCTAAAGTTAGAATTTTGATTTCCTTAAACTTGTCCCTCAAGGATTCCCTCGGGTGCATATTATAAATAGCACGAATAGCCCTCTTCTGCAGGATGAAAATCGTTTCGACATCGGCAGCATTGCCCCATAGCAAAATGCCATAGGACATAACACTATGAAAATAACTAAAATAAACCAGGCGTGCCGTATCTTCAAAGTTACAAAGTTACAAGACAATGGTATTTAATCAGAATTAATTACTACTAATGTGGTTTTTTATTATATAATTATTTATCTTGTTAATTTGGTATATTAGTTGTGAGAGGTTTGGGACATGGAATGTTTTAATTTTTTGAAATTACATTAAAATCATATTCATGTTAATGTGTCTGGATACATTTGATGTATACACCTACTATTAGTCCTTTTGAAGGAAATCCACATATGACTTTGGTGTCTTAAATGTTAAGTTACTATGTGATGTTGAACTCAATAGTGTTTTATTCAACCTCATATCTTATGGTTGATGGTGGCATTTAGGTTTGATTATGCATGAATTCTAATAGCCTCTTAATACTACTTGAGTAACAAGATCATCTAACAATAAAACAGCAACAAAAATGGTATTTACTTCGTAAATATTTCGTCTTTTCACATTAAGTGTACAATTTCCAAAAATATTCGAAATTGAGTTAATATGCGGAATTATTTGATATTATCAGTATTTTTCACTCATAAGTACTGTCAAAAGAGCGTAGTTAAGTTTTAGTTTTTTTTTTTAGTTAACCTATGTTTTGACTACTACTAACAAAATTAAAACATATTAAATATAAATTATGAAATGTTGCAAAGATGATTAATATTAAAAATATCACATGTTAACAACTTTACAGCACTCTCCTGTAAAATTAGTAAGTTTTGAGATTGTATAGTTTTAATGCGAGAAGACGATTTGTGGACTTCAAGTAATGAATAACTTAACTTACCAATTTTAAATTCCTTTTCCGGGTAATTTCTTTTTAAGCTATCGATAACGAAATTCGTTTGTACAAGTGCTAGCTGAAACAAATATTGAAATGAGTCTCGTTGTTTTTTGTATTTAATTACGCTGTTACGTACGTGTTTATGTTACCTCGCTCTTCCTGGAGCCGACGTGAATGCTTAGTTTCGTTTCACCGTCCATTTTTCATTCAAACTTGTTAAAATTTATATAACAAATTATAATTTTTTAGGTTATTGTTAGATTTACTTTAATGGAATCGTTTTTTTTGAACAAATTTAATTACTTTTGACTTAACATGTCACCAACACTGTAGTGGACATGTCTGATTTAATTAAATATGTATAAATTAAATGTTATTTTGAATTTATTCAAACATTATTGACGTCCATTCATATCACTAAAGTGTTAATCTATGATAAAAGTGATAAAACCTCGTACATGCCATACGGCCAACCGATAAAGACTTTGTAGCCTGCAAAACTGGTTCTCGGTTAAGCATAGACAACGAGCATAAATATTTAAGTCGATTAAATCGATATTCAAGACATCGCGATACTTCTTGCTGGATTTTCTGTCAAATGGGAGAACAGTTAAAACAAAATGAACATTATGAAGAAAAACGCTTTGCAGACACGAGACAGCCAAACAATGTATCCAATGAGTGTTCAGACATCTGTAGACTTGATTCAATTTGGCTTGTCACATCTTGCGCTAAGTTATCTCCAAGTGTATTTTTTATAGTTAAATTGTTTTTGTTCATAGTGTGTTAATCATTTGAAATCTTATAAGACATTTTTTAAAACAAAAAAAACCACTTAGTCGCTTTTGGAAGCAAATTGCATAACTGCGTGAAAATATTCTAAGGAAAATGCGTTTGTAGTGGAACATGATATTTTTTTTACCTTTTATACTCGAAAACATACTATGTTGCTATTAGCTACTTCTCGCCTAAAAAGGGGAGGTTGCTAGTAAAATCACAGCTTCTACATTGTGGAAATGAACTAGTATATTGACCCTGAAGACATCATAGAATTGAATAAATTCCTGGTCAGAAGATCAAGATTTTTTTATTTTGAATTTAATATTACTTTTAGGAAGTAACAGAAGATATGTTACCCTATGAAGTAGAATAAAGTCATGACTTCAATCTACAGGAAAAAAGATTAGTTAGTCTTGGAATTCAGAATCACGCAAAGGCATCAATCAGCATTCAACAGTATTACGTTCTATAACGAAATGGTCTCATAATATTCTAGCACTTGTGCTTTGAATTAATAATATTTTCATTCCCTTCCGAGAGTATCGGGATACTTGGGGTCGACATTTCGAGCGATGTCCGATTTCGGAGTCATTTGGAAGGCAAAGCAAAGTTGGCGTCCAAAATGCTGGGAGTCCTCAACAGAGCGAAGCGGTGCTTCACGCCTGGGCAATGTCTTTTGCTTTATAACACACAAGTCCGGCCTCGCGTGGAGTATTGCTCCCATCTCTGGGCCGGGGCTCCCAAATACCAGCTTCTTCCATTTGATTCCATACAGAAGAGGGCCGTTCGGATTGTCGATAATCCCATTGGCACGGATCGTTTGGAACCTCTGGGTCCGCGGAGGGACTTCGTTACCCTCTGTATTTTGTACCGTATGTTCTTTAAGGAGTCCTCTGAGGAATTGTTTGAGATGATATATCATCCCGTTCTTACCATCGCACCGCCCGCCACCGGAGTAGAGTTCATCTATACTACCTGAAGCCACTGCGTTCATCCACAGTGCGTTTCCAGAGATATTTTTTGCCACGTACCATCCGGATTTGGAATGAGCTCCCCTCCACGGTTTTTCCCGAGCGCTATGACACATCCTTCTTCAAACGAGGCTTGTGGAGAGTATGAGTATGTAAGTCCGTGGGCGACGGTAACCACTCACCATTAGGTGGGCCGTATGCTCGTCTGCCTACAAGGGCAATAAAAAAAAAGTTTGATCACAAGTCGCCGAAAATTCCGATCGTTTAATTACAAATAAAAAAATATCGGTGCCATTATTTGTGCTGCCCATTTTTACACAATTCAAATGTTTATGATACTCATTAGCTACAACGATAGTGACGACCTTTGCAAGGTATTACATATATCCGTCATGAATGATGATGCATTTCTAAATAGCGATGCACTAAACATCTGTGTAAATAGTCTATGTAAATATTCCGTATCGACGAAACCGATGATTATAGTGACGCATCGACTGAAACGCTAAAATTTACACAATTTTCTTTATTCATTGTAAACTTACAAAATCAATTGACATACAACGGAAAATATAAATTTAATTGCATAATAAAATGCAAAGAAATTCGATTAAATGTTTATTGTACTGAATTGAAATGGCGGAAAAATGCACCATATATACTTTAATATGCAGTATAATTGCATTTACACATACCAATATTTCGATTTTATACTTGCATTTTTTATATTAGTAAAAATAATGTAGGTACCACACCACATACATACATATATTTTCCTACGAAATACGAAGTTGGATTACAGAAATCATAGATTCATTTAATTAGTGTAAAATCATTAAACGGTTGATTCACATTAGCTTCACTTTCGAAATACATAGTTACAAAATAAAATGTTTTTTAGAAAAATTAACCAGTGCGAAGCCCTGATTAATTACTTACATGTGATTTTGTAGTTAATGGAACAAACCTAGATACTAGATTTGAAGGACACAGCGAAACAGAGTTAGGTACCTATACGAAAACGCAGTAAGAAAAGATCGTATCGCTTTATACTTGAAACTACGCTCTCTCTTTTTCGTCAATATTTTGTAATCAGAAATTAAACAAAACTTTCCGACACGTTACAACCATGCAATTTTGATAAGTTTCTAACGGCCAGAATGGCCGGACATTGACCTTTAAAAGTTTTTAAGAATCTCCTCCATAGACAAGGAAGTCGAAAAAGGTTTTACAGTTAGAAACAGAATTTGTATGAATGACAACACGGCAGTAAGTATTTTGCTCATACTCTAACTTGCCTGCAGCGCATCCGATACCGCCATCGTTGTTGTATTTCGGAGGTCAGTTTCACGCTCCACCTAGCTAATTTTTTTTCAAAATTTGATACTTCGGACAAGTGCAATTTTAAAATGGTTTTACTCGATTGGTGATGACGTCACGAAAAACAAATACAGTAAAACCAATATGCCTCGACAACGTAGCATAGTACGCACAAATTAAGTGTATCCGTAGTAATTAGGTATTTAATTAAGAGGATATTAAGCAGGCTCGAAGGACCATCACGAATAGAGCGAAGACTTCTTCACCTCATGATTCTTTTGTCCTACAAACTTAATTGAAATGCAAATGGACTTAGTAGAGGTTTCATAGACACGTTTATTCCTTTTTTTTAAATAATAATTTGTATAAAAGGGGTAAAGGCATACACTTTTTTCTTTTAATCATTACTATTTTTACAATCTGAGGGTATTTATGAAAACAACGCTACATTCAATACTGAAGGTACGATATTTTTAAACACACAAGTTTAATACAAATGTATTAATAAAATGTATATTTTTTGACAAGTTTTTTTTTAAGCTGTCAATAGTTCTTATTGGTTATTTCCCAACGAAAGATTTATTGTAGTTTTCTTTTATTTATTTCACGCGTTTACTACTTCGCAATCTCCTTCTATTAGGAATGGAATACGTACTGGATCTTCTTGATGATTCTAGAAATAAAGGAAAATAGCATTTATTAATAAATGTTAGTGGATTCATTTTTTTTCCTACCTATGATTATGCCTTGAGAGGCTATATCAGCGTTACCCTAGCGTGTAGGTGAGCTCAAGCCGGAGGTGTTGCTAGCACTGGCGCTAGCAAGAGCAGTGCTTCGCAGAATCCGTCACCGGAACGGAAACGCGACCCACTGAGAAGATCCGGCGAGAAACTCAGTGGGTTAATTTTAGTTTGGACCACTGGTTTTACTGCTGCCCACAGACATCACAATGCGAATCGCCTTCAGACGCGTCGTCGAAGTCTTAATTATATTGTGTAATAGTATCGATGGGTGCTCAATCTAGAACTGGAAATGATTGCTTCGTAGTGAAAATAGGCAGCGTGATGATACCTACTCGTGTACACTCACACGACGTCCTGCTAACAGTAATTACACCACCAAATATTTTTGTGGGTTTGATTTTTATTCCTACATCGTGAAAGTCATTTGCGAACGAGTTAAGTACATATTTCCTTAGAAAATTTGCTCCCTGCCTACAAGATTCAAACTAGGGGGGCCGCCAGAAGGTTATTGGAGGTAGCAATTTTTTTACTCTTTGGTTCATATAGTTTCTCTAAATACACCACTCCTAGGGAGTTGCCAGATTTTCTCTCTACCGAAGTGATCGTAGTCGAAAAAAGTTTGAGCACCACTGTACTAGGCCACAACGACTTCCATTGCTTGCCCGTTAACTGCAATAGTATTTTGAACGGTATCAAGTAAACCTTCGCTAACTGCTAACTTACTGTATGTACACTTACTCGATTTATTAGCTGGCTTGACACCTTCAGTGATCTTCACTTCTTTTTTAATCTTCTTACCTGCAACTCTTTTCTTAAGTTTCGATTGTTGATTACTCTTACATTCTAATTCTACTTCTTTCTCATCTGTGCTGCTAGCCTTTTGTCGGGTGCATCGTGTCGTCAGAACTAATTCCGGCTTCTGTTTGGATCTAGTTGATCTTGTACATCTAGGTTCAATTTCAGTCTCTCTCTTAAAACCATTCTGCTGTTTTAATACTTCGATTTTCTCTTTCGCTTCTCTTCTTTCTTTCATTCTGTATATTTTGACCATGGCCGGCGTGTATCCGTCTAAATGAGTCGTATGATCGTGTTCTTTTGTACTTTTATCTTTGCCGAGTGCCTTCTTCCTGAATGCGGCCAGAACTTCTTTCATGGCGTAAGTAGGGTTCTTGTTTTGTAGGTAATCTTTTTGCATCAGAGGCGACTGTGACGAATCGCTGTTCTCTGACACTTCTGAAAGTTTTCTAATCCTATATTTGCATGTGCTGTCGTCGTCAAATTCCTCGGCTACTGTTCTCTCTTTCGCTCTTATTATGTCTTCAGGGTTACCTGCTAGTACTTCGGCCCAAGAGAATTGCCTGGCGGATCCCATGAAGTTTCCAAATTTGCCAATACTATTCCTGTGTCGGCCTTTGCGTTTCTGTACTATCTTCTTTTTCGATCTCAAATTTTTCGGTGATAACTTCTTCCCGAATATGTCGTGGGGCATCAGCGATTTTCTGAGTCGGGCCACTAAGTCCGCGTCCGAGACGAAAAAGTTCCTAGACGTACACGGCTTCCGTACGCCGTCACGCGACGAGTTCAAAGTTTGCCTTAAAAGTTCTAATTTCAAGTCATTTTCTAACGACCAAACATTTTCGCGCTCGTGCGGTTTTTTTATGCCATTCCGCGCCAGAAAGTTGGGTGGCGTGTTTTTCCGACCAAACTTTTTGGTGTAACTGAGCTTTCTGTTCATAGGCGACATTGAGAGTTCTATAAAATTGAGGCTCTCCTTTTCTGAGCATCCATTTTTCAGCAGTTCACTCCTGAATAAACTTCTACAGTAATCATAATCCGGCTTCTCGGGGAAATCTAAACTAGTAACGTATTCTAAATATTTCTCCATGAACTGAGGGTAGAATTCAGTTTTGAAGCAAGTTTTGAGCAGCAACTTTATGTCGCCCATGAAATTCTTTTTCAAGGCATGAACTAGATCCGGTTCAGCCAGAACTTCAGACGTTTTCCAAGGTAAGGTCCCGGTTAACCAGTCGAGTAAATTGTATCCAAGCGTTTCGAGGTCAGACCTCCTAGAATGAGCTCCGATATGGGAGTCTCTAGAGCTGTACTCCAAAGTACCGTCATGGGCTTTTCTAGCGTCCATTCCAAAGTCTTTGTGCTTTCCGTCAGAGTCCAAGAACTTCGAGGCCAAACCAAAATCCAACAGGTAAATAAGGCCGTTTGATTGTGACAAAACAGCTTCTTGGTATATTTCGTCGGCTTCATTACAGTTACTACCCGCTTTCAATCTAGCATTATTATTCTTTTTAGTTTCACGAAACTCCTTTGTGGTGCGTATCAGGTTTTTGTTACCGAAGTCATCTATCAGCTTCTGGTACGACTGATCCGAACAAACCGAACTGTTCATGTCCTCGTAGTTGACATAGCTCGACAGCTGACGGAGATTGAACGCGTGGTGCCTATGTAGAGTCCTACTATCTCTATCCGAGAGTATCTTCCGAAGTTTATTCTTCACTGTAGTCAGCTTTCTGTCGCTCTCCTCGTCCGACTGATTAGGACTTCTGTAGCTGATTTTAAAGTCCTCATCGTCATAATAATTCGAATTCCTAGATTTACCCGGTTTAGCCCGTCTGTGCTTTCCGGAGAGAACTGCCACTTCTTTCGTTTCCTTCTGGTAAGAGGGGGTCGATTTTAATACCGGTATTTTACCGATTCTCGTGCCGTCAAAACCTAACATTAGATTGGAGCTTTTTATATCAGAATGAGTGTACCCTTGATGATGAAGGTACTCTAGAACGTCTAGTATTTGTATGGCCAGTATGAGGACGTTTTTCAAGTCGAGAACGCGTGTCCTGCTTATGATCTTGTGTAGGTCAACGTCGTAGCGAGGTAGGACTAGGAATCTATATTTCACACCGCTGTTCTCGTCTGTGAACGATCCGTTAGCAATGTACACCGGCATGCCGAGACGTTTTTGCTTTTTTTCTAATCTCCATGATTTAACTGTTGAATAATTTACCGGATTAACTTTTTTGCTGCATGTCACACAATTTGCACATTAATTACTTTGAGATGACGAATAAAAAAAAATTCAAATATCTCAATACTCTTATATACATTTTGATATTGTTCATCAAGATTCATTGGAGAAAAAAAATTGTATTTTTTACTTTTTTATCAAAACTGTAAATGATATACATTTATATTATAAATTCATCAATTCTAATTATTAACTCTTCACTCGTGGTACTGACGGAAAAATTTTTTTAAAGAAATCCGCCATTATTGTTAATATTTCTGTTACTATTTAAATTCTTTATAAATAAATTAAATGTAGCTCCTAGACATAATTATACACTAAAACTTACCTTTAGCAGCTTGGGCAGTTCTAATAAGGCAATGTATTTCAACAAACAAGGGACCATTGGTGTGTGGTTCAATTTTAACCACATATCTTGCATTGAATTTGGTCACCTCGTTGTCTACGTCATCTGATGCTAAGTAAATCCTACCAAAACTTCCTCTACCTGTGAAGAGATATATTAATTTAAATGGAGTGTAAAATACAGAGCAGTCATTATAAAGCATCAAGATTTAGATCTAAACAGAGCAAAGTAGAAATGATGTTTTAAGTGGAAATACTTTATTACACCTGTATATAAAGCATTTTCAAAGCATTGCTCATAAAATCGTTTCAATAATAGTTAGTGGTAGCTAGAGGAGGTCCTCTAGCTACCACTAATACTAATTCCTTGACAGTCAGTCTATTTACTTCTTTTTTATCTGATCTTGGTTGTAACTACCCTTAATTCCAAACACCAGCACTACTCAACTGTACGATGAGTGCTCATGAATAGTTGTTACAGTTCTGCTCATTTTAGTTTGAAGAGAAAAATAATGTAATTTATCGGTAAAACATAATTGTGAATTATAGACAAACTGAGCATCAGAGTGTCTTTCTATGAGAACTAGTTAATCAGTCACATCACAATGTTTATTACAAAAAATCTGGGCAAGACGATTCTATCATATGATGATTATGAGCTTACCTACATGCACGATAAAGAAAAAAAAAGCACATTAATTTGCAAGATATGTATTTGAGACTAAGTATTGTGCAAATTAATCACAAATGTAAAATTTGAAAGATAAAAAAACTTTACATAATAATATGTACACATTATTAAGCACTGACTTTAAACTGTTGTCTATTACATATTTGTGTAATAAACAAAAGGTAAATATACCCATTAAAAAGTTGCGTATAATTAGTTGAAGCGGATAGTCAAGTTACAAAACCAGTTTAGAATACAAGCAGTGTCGTTAACTTTCTTGTGTGTGGTGTGTTTTAGAAAGATGTGTGGAAACAAAATTAATAGTTGTTATACAGAATATACGTTAGACGGAATTATAATTATTGTGGGGCAATTTTCCCTTTTATTTGCCAATATGATATAACTGGAACATACAGTATTCATTAAATCGTAATATAATAATAATAAATAATAAATATTTACTAACAATCACGCCACGTTAACTGGTCCCGTGATAAGTTCGTAAAGAACTTGTGTTACAGGTACCAGATAACGGATATAAATGTAAGATTTTTATTATACATATACATATATTTAATAGACATCCATAACCCTGGAAAAGACATTTATATTTATCATAGAAATATCTTCCCTTGGCGGGATTCGAACCCGCGACCCCCTTGTGTAGTGACCATGTCACTTACCACTACACCAGACGGCTATATATACATAATATTTTTTTAGGCACTAAAAAAAATATTATGTAACTCTGTTTAAGTAGAGTTTACTATGTAATAAAGATTATTATATTTATGTGTAACATTAATACAATGAAAATTACACAAGGTGTTTGGCAGTGATCAAGGCCCTTAAACCTAGCCCAAATAGTGGACGTGTAGTTATTAATACATGTTGATTAAGCCTTAATTTGAAAGGAATATCCTGGGCTTCAAACTCAAATACATGATTGTTCTACATCAGAATCAATTTGCGGGCACTTATGGCCCTTCAAAATTCCAATACAATGGTGTCAGTATTTTTTTTATTGTGCTTTCATTTTCTTTTTTCGTAATGTAGAAATACTTCACATCAGAGATCAGTGAGATGGTGGAGCCCACGCATGTAACACAATATACTTAATGTTAGCTTATTATGTTACATATTCACTCATTGGAATTACAAGACATCAAATTATCATTTTCCTAATATATTATCAAAATATTAGGACATATTGTGTTACACGTAGCTAGAAATTGCACAACTAAATGTGAGAAATTAAAACAATAATGTATTTTACAGCTATATTGCCTATATATTTTAATACGCTTTTATTAGCTTCAGACATACGTATGTTTGTAACGGAATCTTTTAACATGATTTTGGCCCCCTTGAAAACGTCGGATTAACTCGAAATCTTGTATACTTATTAAGGACCGATGATAATACAATATATAAAAAAAATTGAAAAAATTTAAATTCAACCAAAAAATGAAAAATAAATAATAGTTTAAAAAAACTAACAAAATACGCATTTATTAAAAATCCAGCTAAAAAATTTAAAATAAATTTTAATAAATTTGAATTAAAAATAGTGTAAGAAAAAATTATTTAATTGTAAAAAAAGGGTGGGTGCATGGTATCAGTAGTTATAAATATTTTATGAATAGATATGAGTAGAAAGGTTATTTTGATAATATCCTGAAAAGCAACCCACGCTTTTTTAAATCATTTTTTCTTACACTATTTTTAATTCAAATATAATAAAAAAATTATTTTCAATTTTTTAGTTGGATTTTCAATAAAAGCATATTTTGTTAGTTTTTTTAAATTATTATTTATTCAATTCAGACAGCAACAAGCGATAATATTGTCCATCCCGCAAATATACTTTTTTCAGATATCACCAATGCTGTTTGAAAAAGTTGTTTAGCCCTTTGACTGCTACGTAAGGCACAGGTCCCCAGTGCCTTACGTGGCGGTCAATAGATCATCTTATTTATTTTGGTGTTTAAATATTTATGTTCTTGGGATTTTGCAAATTTCATATTGAAATCCAACCTTAATCATTTTAAAATCCAATTGTTTGTTGTACTCAGTGTAAATCATCCACCTGTTGTATTCTGCCCTTAAAATGTTGATGAACTTTATATAACATAGCTAGCTACCTTTCGTTTAATACACGGATGATAAATAACCCAGTAAAGTTTTGTGCAAAATATTCTATTTATGAATATACTTTTCTTGGATTTATAGGAGAAAGAACCTATTAGGATTTTAGACATTATCAGGATACTGTATACCAACTCTACATATACATATATTGTGAATACATGAGGTTGATATCTCAATTCAACTATTCAACATTTCAAACCAGAGAGGTATTGGTAAATGTGGTCTTACAATACTTACCTACCATATCACTATTATGTAGTTAATTAGATTAAAAATGTTGTATAACAGTATGGAAAAGTAGCTCAAGTTTTTTAAGTATTTTCATGGTTTTACGACATAGTTTTATTTTATTGTTTATAGGGTCAGCAAAACAAATATTGTTTATCTATGGAATCTATCTGATCTTACTATGCTTTGGAGTTGGTTACTCCTATTCTGTTAATTCGAAACACTCACCAATGGGCTTCCCGATCCGCCATTTCTTGAGCTGAATGTCTGTGAATACAATACCCGGCGGTAATGCCTCGTCGTCACAGAAACTCACGTCCAGACTGGAGGTTTCATCCTCTAAAGTCTTAACTTTCTTCTTCGGGTGTAAAGACAACTGAACAATATCTGGTGCCCGCCGCGGCATTCCAACAGACAATAACTTTTGAATATTTGCCTTCCAAACTTTTACCAACCGTATCACGGAAGATTCTACAAAACATAACAAGTACAGACAATTTACGAATCTAATAATATGCAGCATTCATACATCAGTATTTATTGAGTTAACTTCTTAAGTAACATTTAATGTGATTTAAACAGCATTATTATTATTGATTTTCTATCTTACCTGAATGTTTATGAATTCAGTCCGTAATGTCTCGTTAGTTACTTTATTTGTTATTAATGAATAACTTTCAGGAAATTTTCATTCATTACTAAATTCTTAGTCATGTAAACTTGACGTACTCCGTTAAATTTACAATATCATTTCAGCAGAAATAACAACTGATTGATCGTCAGCCATGTTGTTAGTGTTTTTTTATCATTTCACGAATGGCCGTTTATATCTCGACTTTTTAGCAATCTTAGTTCCGTTGTACTTTAAAAAATACTGACTTCCTTGGTAGTGTCCACTATAATAACAAAGACGATGTACTAATTTAGGAAATATAATTAGGGAATACAAAATAAAATTTAGAATTACAATTTTAATACCGCTTTTTTCACTCTTTAAAGTAAAGTCGGCTGTCAAAAGAAGGATTTGCCAGCACTGGGAACATTAAAATAATTACATTCAACATTAGATGTGCTTAATTTACAATATTTCCTTTTCGATATAATGAGCTTAATTTATTTATAAATTTTTCGGTCAGCTCTAGTCAAATGTTGATTGTAGTCGATTTTACTTAAAAGTCGAACGCCTAAACCACTAAATTTTATTTTATTTTTTTCAAAAATCATTCTGTGGATTTCTTGTTCCTGAGCGTTAAATAATTTTGAACAATTATTTGATATCATCTTGAAATTCGCTAGCAGTTTACCTTCGAGATTTATTCGAAGTTGTGTTAATGTCGACAATAGATGTCATACCCTACGATATATCATTAGTTGAGCAAGGTAACATTTACACATACTAATAATATATCAATCATAGATAATAAGTACTATTAATAATACACTTAATATTTAAATACCAATGGCGTTAAGCTGGTTCGTATTATGACGTTAATTCAAAAACGCATGATTAATGAAACGGTTTCCACGCATTAAGGCGCTCGCTCTTCTTACTTGAATAGCTTTCAGAGTGGTTGTTCTGCATTAGCATCACAATCAGCGGGAAAATCTGGATTAATTGAAGAGATGGAGATACCAAAAGAAAGCTACTGCCAAGTACTAAGAATTATTCGCTTCTAGCAAAGCAAATATTGGAACTAAGGACTAAAGAATTAACGACAGAAATATGCTAGTTCTATTATATATTTCTATTTTTCTGTATCGTTTTGTTGAATTAAAACCGCACGTTTAATTGACACAATTTTTTTTCAGAAATTATATATATGTACATTTTTGATATTTGTATCTTAACTTGTAAACTATACATTCATGTGTATTCGAAATTTAAATTTACGGTACGGTACGATGCTACCACAAAACATTAACAAAATTGACACTATGTTTTCCTACTGCATACGTTTTAGAATTTACTACACTCAATATGGTGTGGCGCCATAGCGTCGCACAAAATTAACGTATACCTACTGCCTCGAATCGAGAATATACTACTTACTCATGTAGGTTCAGTGCAATGGGCCCCTGTGTACACAATGACCGCGCTGTGTTTGAATGTATATAGTTAGTTAGTTAGTTATACTGCCAACAGTTACATTGCCGTGCCTACCTACTGGCGTTTCATTCACTCGCTAATTCACAGCTGACCGTGAGGCCGCGTCCCTCGCTCCGGCCGCAGCTCGCGATGTTTACGCTTGTCAACAAATAAACAAAATGAGATGTGTTTTGTGATAAATAAAACTAATCTGTGTTTTGTTTTTCTTGTTTTTTTTCTATATGTAATAAATTCAAAGGTATCATAATCGATGTTATGTTGTCTGTATTGAGTGCACGAAGATGGATATTGGTAACGGTGATTCAGACCATTCTATGACCTGGGAGGATTTTTTTGGTTCGTATTTATTTCATTGATTTGGTTGCGAGTTTTTTTTTATATCTTCTGATAACTTACATGACAAGTTAAATATATTTACTGATACTTGTTCCAGTTTTAAATCTTATTGAAATCTTATCAGTTTTAATTACACCACTACTCAGTGACTTACCGGGGTTATTTCCTTTTTCTAGTTTGTAACGACTTTTTTATGAGTTATTATTCTCAGTATTAGGTAGTATGTAGTAGAAAATATAAGTTAAAAAGAATAGGTAGGCATACTAACATAAAGTTAGTACCTAGGTATTAGTGTTTTAATACGCTATGTCTATATCTAGGATTAAGTCAGTGTTTTAATATTCAATGTAACATGTAACTAGTGCTGATTTTTTAACATATCGCATTGCATGAAAATCGAAACATACTAGTAGGTTTAATGATAACTTTTTATTACTTCACAATAATCGATACGTAATAAATTCGTGGCTTTTATTAATTTTTAATAATAAATAATAAATTTTATTTATTAGGAATTTTAAATATAATATTTATTAATTTTAAAATTACGAAATACATCGTTGTACGGATAGCGTGAATTAATTGTCAAAAAATAAACTTAACTACAACATTTTTTATAGGTGTGACTTGAAAATGAAATGAATACGGTGCTTGTAACTTTCTCACTACCAATTAAAGTGAAATTTTGAAAAACCTTTGTCTGAGTAAAAATACAATAAACGGAATAGCAGAGTAAATAAAAAAACACCATTTTACTTATAATTTAATTATACCCATACTTACTATTTTACGCAAAATAGAAATCCAAGAGCCCAGTACCTTATAAGTTTTTTCTTGTAAATTTCCATCCGTAATAACTCATTAGTTGAGAGTACCTGTAACTATGATTATTTACTTTGAAATAAGTGTGTATGTACTCGAGATAATGTTTCTTGTTATCTGTGGCATGCGTTTGTGATAAAAAAGTGAGCAACAATGGAACTGGTTTGTTGCATTAATGAAAAGCTTCCCTTAATCTTATTTATACAAAAAACACAATTTATATCTTTGGTTTCAATAGTGATACCAACGAAAAAAAAAACTATCAAGTATGATTCTGAACCAGAATGATTCTCGATTTTCGCGATTCGTAAACATTATTAAAACACTAATTTATGTGTATTATCTATGATTAAAACTATTTTTACGACAGACAGGCAAACGTTCATACATCAAGTTAATGAAAGACTTTAAAAAAAATCATCATCAAAATTATAGTTCGATACGAGCAGTGGAAGCCAAAACATTCATTAGGCATTTGAAAAATGATTTTACAAGCTCATGTATTGTTTACATTGAAGAAACTATAATAAGCAAACTTTTCTGTCCCAAATGCCACCTAAAGGTTTCAAATTTCGTGACCGACAAATGGATATAATTTACATCGGCTACGGAATCAAATAATTTTACACGATCATAACTTAAAAAAAAGTTACGCAAATGTGTAATGTGTGTACATAAATTAAAAATAATTCAGTCAGTTCAGTAATTTAACTATATACTAAAAGAGATGTTATCATCGAAAATCTATTTAATTAGGTATTGTTAACACTACCTAGTAAAATTAAAAAAAAAAGAGTGACCAAATTAATTCTTTGAGAACTTTGCCAACAAACTTTGAACCCCAAAAAAAAGTTAATTCATCGTTGCATAAAATGCGTTCCTGTTGCCAGTTGCTAATATATAGATGGCAGATACATAAACGTAATTTTCTTCGACACAAAATGATTTACTTTGGCCGCAGAGGGACCAATAAGTACTATAATAATTTACATCCTTTGCCTGAATAGGCTTGTCTCAGTAAAAACACAGACTCAATAAACAGAATAAATATATATATTTTTTAATAATAATTTAATTATACCCATACCTACTATTTTACGCGAAATACAAAATGATTTACATTGACCGCAAAGGGACCGATACGTACCTACCTACTATAATAATTTACATCGTCTGTGTTTTGGTTTATTCTTGCGAAATAATAGTTGTTGACTAAACATTTGTAGAGCAACGTTCGCATTGCGTGCTCGAGTTACAAAGCCTTTGTACGGTAATGCTGTTTTAAGTTCGTGTACATATATAAAAATATACTAACGATAAAACATTAAAAACTTTGCTATTAATACAAAGGAGGTTTTTTTTTTGTTAGTACAGGAGGTGGTTACCGAAAACCACAGATATCAACAACGTAAATGCCATCACTCACCTTGAGACGTTAGTTAAATGAGTACTATATCGAATACAATAGTACTAGTAATAGTAGATAGATAGAGCATATATATGATAGAGGTACAATGGCTACATCCTTCAAATCAGACGGCATTATTGTCAGAAATAGGCAGAATGGTCATACGCATCCGTGCGGGCACACAAGACACTTTAACACCAGTATTAAAGATACATTCGCGTCGTATCTTTTTTTTCTTACCTAAGCTGATGGTCTAGAGAGATCATATCAGCGTAATCTTCACTTAGTAGGTGAGCTCACGGGTCTCAAACCTGACGATGTTGCTAACACGAACCCTAGCAAGAGCCGTGCTTCGCAGAATCTACCACAGAATCGGAAACGCGGCCCACTGCTAAAATGCGGCGAAAAACTCAGTGGGCTGTGTCTGTGGATTAATTAATTTACTCGCCGAGCCTTTCGTTGCAAGCGACGGGTTCGGCGAGGACGATGACCGGTGCTTGGGGTACCTAAAAACACCGGTAATGGATCGGGAGGATCCGAAATGACGTGTTTTGGGCGATGTCGACTGTTTACCATTTGGTTCGCAGGATCGGCTTTGTAGTTTCTGGCGGCCACGATGAGGGGATTCTTGTGTCGTGCCGCTTTATCGAAGTGGGTATCTTTTGAACAGCATAATAATTACACAGAATTGAAGATGGCGAAATAGCATCAAAAGCCGTCGTTTGCTTCTATTTTTCGAACTCAATCTCACCCGACCAGTTGAGTGCGCGACTCTTGCGCCGACCACAGGTGACTAGGAGAAGGGCCGGAGAATGATGTACTCACGCTCAAAGAAAATGGTTAGGAAAAGCAGAGGTTACGTTCAGTTTGCTTAAAGCGAGTTTTTAACGTTCTCGATAGCGTAATAGTTAACTCAAATCTGTATGGAGTTGGAACGTTCGCCTACGTTTGCCGCTAGGGGCGCTGTTCCAACTGCATACAAATTTGAGTTAACTTTTACGCTATCGAGAACGTTAAAAAACTCGCACTAAGCACACAAGTGTATGACGCATTTGAGTCGTCTATTATCAAAGGTGGCAATCTGTGCATTTGGACAAAAAAATGT